ACGATATGGATTCAGCTGCAGGTATGGTTACACGTTGATACAAATAACGTCAATTTACAATATTAACACCGTGCATTAGACGATATTATAATGGTATTATTAGAATTTTGGTCATTATTATTATTAGAATTCTGGTCATTGTTATTGCCTGTTTTTTTCGTCTTGTTATCCGTTGTTCTCAATAGCTCGCATATATAGATTTGGGGTAACGGATTTGGAAATTTGCGTGGGGAGGCGCCTAATTTGGAAACGTCTATTAATTTTAATTTCACAAGATAATATTTACCGCAATTGCTCAACGTCTACGTAATATTATCGTAAATTATGGCGTCCATAAAATATTAACATCTTCGCATAACCGCGAAATTTTGAAGCATGGAAAAAGATAAACCACCCATTTCGTTCATCATAGAGAATCCATCAGCATTCGTGAATGGACGAGCGCAAACGAATGATATTCCATCATCACATGGTCTTATTTATAATGCGTCTACGGATCCTATCATTATAGATGAAGACAGACAGCTGACTGACAATGCATCTCTCAAAACACAACCTTATGAGACAGAAGGTAATTTACACATTTCAAGGAAAACATCGAACACTCAACCTATCTTCCTGAATTAATACAATTTTATCAAACGGATATTAACCAACAAATAATAACATTGATACATTAGTTGACATTAGTCAACACTTACTCGAATCAAGGCAAGCGGCCGATGGAGGGTATTGTTTAATTAATTAATTTCATAAAACGGATTGGTAGGGAAAAAAAGAGAGAATTTATTTGAGACGACACACATAAACTTTTCTTCACAAGCAGAGATTGAAAGGGTCTGATTTGAGCGAGAATTTACGAGGAATTTTCTGCACGATGTCGAGGGCGTAGCAGTAAAGCCTTACGCAAGCGGTATAACTTATGTAGACGTTAATCTTTTAATTGATTATTGGGTGGGAGGAATTGACAACCAGAATTTTATATTGTTATGAAGCTAATTGACTGTAGTATTCGAATAAAATAAAACAAGTTGTTATAATGGAGCTATTATCTGCCAAACTGTCAGTATATCTGTTACATATGTAAAAATGTACGTGTAACATATGTGTTGTCAGTCAATAAGCTTCATAACAATACAAAAATTCTGGTTGTTTGCTTAGTAAATAATGCCAATACAGATGTTCGAAAAATTAGATTTTCATATGTTTTACTAATTGATCGTCGAGCTGATTCGATACTTTTGTCCGGTGAGTGTAGGTAAACCGTTCAAAGTCGCATTAATATCGTAGGTAAACCGTTCAGTGTCATCAACTATAGCCATTAGAACAATACTATGAAAACCTTTTCTGTTTATATATCTTTGACGGGGTTGTTGTATTGATATGTGAGATCCATCAATTGCTCCAATAACATTAGGTATGTGCTTTCTTAATTCTGGCGGTGCAAATCCTTCAATCACCTCTTCCATTCGATCACCTACTGGCCAGCAAATACAATTTTGTAGAGAATCCAAGACTGCTTCGAGGAAACGTTTAGTAAGTGTGTAATAGATCCTTGACTTATGCCAAACGTCTGCTCTATCTGACGATATCCGATTTGCTGGACGTTGAAGGACAATTGCCACCTGAATTTCTATCAGAGTTTGGTGCCTCGATAGTATATTAAGCAATTGATTGAACGTTGACCGATTGATGCGAAAGTGAGATTTGAAACTATTATATCTACTACTATTATTTAAATAAGGAAATATATTAGTCCAAAAGCCATAAATCTTTGGACGTAGTATCTGCGGTGCTCTGCATATTCTTGATTCATGCTCTATATTATCAATCAGTAACGCTCCAGTTTCTATTAATTTATCATCCGTCTCTTTTTGAGAAATTACAGCATCTATGATTATGGCAACGGATGTTGCAATAACTGCTTTATTTCGTCTTGAAAGTGGCATTTTCGTAAAATTTTTTATTGAGACATTTTCTGAGATGAACCTTTTTTTAAAAAGTAACAACACTGCAACGGTTATCAACGCGACACGATAAATACGTTGAATGAATAAAGGTATCACAACGAAATGGAATTTCCAAATTAGGTGCGTCCCTTCCTGATGGGAAGGCAACCACGCCTCCCCTTACACAAACTTCAAAATCCGTTACCCCAAATCTATATAGGCAAGCTATTGAGAACAACTTTAGTAATACAGCGAACCCTCTCTAATATGGCCAATTTCGTTGATATATTAATATGCGGGGTTGGATATGTTAGGGTTTTAAATAATGACGTCATACAGTGTGGGACAAAAAAATCCGTTTTTTTTTGTCCCACACTGTATGTAATATATTATATACGATGCCTATCTTAAACTTTATTTATAATAAAAATCTCTTTATTTCTTTCTCCATATAAACTAAACCAACTTGTTCACCTCTTATGAATTGTGGGGGAGGAAGGTTTAATTACGAAATTTAATACCTACAATTAAGCACAAAATAAACTAAGAAGGTACAATCAACGAAAAATGCTGAGAAAACAATTCACAATTATGAGAGATGGCAGAACGTTAATGCATATAGAGGCGAAAAATTATTACACATTTCTGGAAAGCAATAAATTTAAAAAAGTGAGTTAAAACTATATACGAAGTGGAATAACAAAGCACGCCAACTATAGTAAGTGGAAACTTAGTTTGTGATGCTAATTTGGAATTGGAAGACCGAATTAATTTTTTAAATCAGAGAATTTTGGATTTACATACAGAATAACCTCAACAATAATAATAGAAACATAGCAGGTTACAAACTATCGAAGTTTTGCGGATTAACAGATCCAGAAGATTTATTAGAGATTTTCGCCAATAATGTAAATGAGCTAATTATGATCCGGGTGCTGGACACAACATGCGGATGAGTATTTATGGAGTTTTTTAAAAAGATTGGTATGAAAGCAAGCAAAAATTAGTAATTACCGTAAATATGGTGCAAGCAAATCTTTATGCTATTCATGCATTGACTAGACTATAATGGAATAATGTTGTGAGATTTAGAGGTAAGGCTCGTGCTATTTGAGACACCGCACCAGCTGATAATAATCTACCTGCTTTATCTCCTTCTGCTACTACCAACTTTTGACATAGCTGTGCCATTTTTCCATTCAACGATCGCAAGTAGAGGTTTCCATTTGTTTTAGGTAGGCAACTTCAAGTGAGAGTTTCTCAAGAGCGAGTAAATCAAATTACATCAGATCTTTTGTCCCAAGTTAATTGAAAGTGATGCTTTCGGAAAATCATAACCATGTTTGGCTCCATAGACAAATCATCGAGTTACATGTCGATTCGCAAAACTTTTCAGCCACGTACATTTATTATTAAATTAAAAAAAAGGGGGGTGGGGGGAAGCTCTAATAGAACGTCTTCTGGGAAGAAATTTAAACTCGCAAAATGAAAAAATTGGACATTTACCTTCAGGAAAAACTCTTAATCCGGGTAGACTCTTCGACGAGAAATGTCTTACCGCATCAAGTAGAGTTGAGAATGTTGCTTATTATTATTATTATATACCAGCAAATACTGAAAACTTGCCTAACATGATTTCTACTCGGAAACCAAATTTTACTAGTTATCGAGAACCAGTACCAGAAATACCTGAATCGGATGGTCCTACGAAAATTGATTTCGTTAGAAAAAGACCGGCTATGTAAAATTAGGCATTTGATAATTCCAGGTGCCGGCCTCGATTCTTGTGCAAATTACCCAGTTATTAGTGAGGATACTGTCGAGCGTGCAGAATCGCGAGTCACTGGTAATAAATTCATGTTAATATTAATTTTCTCATCGATAAATATGATTATGACTTACTTTATTGAGAATTCTCCCTACCAGATTGTCGTCTCCGGAAACGGCTTAGCGTAAACGCATTTTCCTTGTACACTCCCCTGACATGGGTCATGAGACTATTCTAAAATTCAATAGTAAATTATATAAAAAATCTTTTCAAAAATCTCTCTTGTTATTGTCTGCAAACACTATGTAAGTGTCAATGATTTTGTCGGTTTTGAAACTAATTGACTGTAAAGAAAATAGGAAACTTTAATATTAACACATTATTATTATAAAGAAAGCTGTAGCTTTGATAAAGGGTGCTCTCATCAGCTACCTCCCCTATCAGATTTGGCAATCAAAGTTACTAAAATTAGCAATCACTGTAGGGGAGGTAGAGGGGAGGTACCATAAATAGTAATTGGCAGTAATTGTACTATTGTCTCTACTATAATCTTATTCTATGACATGTATAACTTATCAAATCTTTCCACTTTATTTGGCAAGATCTTAAGAGCACTTACCTCCCCTTTAACTGCCAAATTTGTCAGGGGAGGTAAGCTTATGAGAGCACCCAAAGTGATAATAAAGTGAATGGAGTGATAGTTATATGCTACACATATAAAAATATACTTTTATATTGTACCCAGATACTGTTACATGTGTTGAAATTTGCTGGTTATTTATTTTTTTGAAAAGAAAGGTTATTTACTATTAAATTTTAGAACAGTCTCATGACCCATGTCAGGGGAGTGTACAAGAATGCCAAATTAATACTGTTTGTGTATAATCTGTATTGTGACAGTCGGTTTGTGTCGGATGCAATGCACTAAAAATAGTTTAACCTGGTTTGAGGACAAAAAATGTGGAGAAAATTAGAACAAACGGTTGCATAATAGCACCAATTACAAATATAACGGGGAACTGTAAAGTCGATCACAGCATACTCCTCTCTTCAGTGCATGAACCAATCCTTTTACATGTGTCCTTGTACGAACCCGTTTCGAGAACCTTGTGTTTCTAACAAATTTGGTATGTGCAACAGTAAATTAAATTACGCTGGCCGAGATTACGATTTCACCCCATCACAAGCCCAATCAGCAGGTGATGAAATTATAAAAAAATTTCAGCTTGTCCCAAAATTCCCCCTTTCTTCTAACATAAAGTGTAAGTCTTAAAACTTCTTTTCATCATAAGGACAGAAAGAATATCTTCATTCCCGTCCTTTCTCTCTCCTAGGCGGAAGCAGTCGTTAGTTGTCGATAGGTTGTCTTTATAGTTGTGGTGAAGGGGTAGTGTGCAGAAGTCCCTTTATCCCTTTCGACCTCGTCATCCTTATTATTCATTTCGTCGGGAAAGTTTTGGAATATCTGAGAAAATGGCTTTCCCTCAAAAGGGTTGCTTTAAGTGTGGTAACGGTATGTTGTCGGTGTTTCATAATGTTTGTATGTAGCGGATTATAAGAGTATTCGGATAGAACAGAGTTAGATTGACCGTTGTCGAACCGTTGTTACAAAGTCTGTTGGCTGTCATCCATAGGTTTATGAGGTCCAACAGACTGAAACTACGGGCGCTGTTTAAGTCTGTTTTCGTGTCTGTACTCTTATATACGTGTTGTGCTTTGTTTTTATTCTGGTTTCCTCTGATCTCATACATACTTGATATGTTAGTCGGACACTTTGCCGACTCTTGCCCTCAACCAGAGAGGCTTTGCTATAATTGCAAGAACCCCGGTCATGAGGCTAATCAATGTCCTCAACCGCGGACGGCTGACGCAAAACAATGCTACGCTTGTGGTGGTGGTATGTAATGCATGTCAATCTATGGTGGTGTATGGGAGTTAAGGAATTGAGAGCGGATGGACGCTTTGAAATGGCTCGCGAGTATTTCTACGTTTAGTATGTCAGCTTGTGCTTTGACTCCTGGCACAGCCTACGTTGACTATATTAATTGATATGCATATTCCTGTAACGAAATCTGATGTATACTTGGATATCGAAACTTTTTAGTTGGGCATCTCCAAGCAGACTGTCCTTCGCCAATTCGCATGAACGGGGGCAATGGCGGCGGCGGTGGCGGCGGCGGGCGCTGCTACAATTGTGGTCGATTCGTAAGTAATGGCCTTGATTAGTAAACTGCTAATCAATGGGATGATTTCTGACGAATGCTCTTTTTTTGGTAATAGGGCCATTTGGCTCGTAACTGTTCTAACACTGGATTTGGCAAGCGTATGTCTCGTGGCGGCTATGGTACGAACAGAGTGATCTGCTACAAGTGTGGTGGATTCAATCATTTTGCTAGAGACTGCCAAGCTGCTGGAGTCAAGTGTTATAACTGTGGTCGCTTTGGCCATTATGTGAGTGTTTATTAATGTTAGAATCTGAGTACCTGTTACGTGTTATTATTGTCTAATGGGTACATTGATGTCATTGCTTTCTTTAGTCTCGTGAGTGTCCCAGTTCTCAAGGACCTGTTGACAAAACTGTAAAAACCTGCTATCGCTGTGGTGAACGTGGGCACATCGTATGTACTGCCATATTGTGATTGTAAACTTTATCTTAATAATGCGATTAACCTTATTCTCGATTTTTCTATAAAGTCTAAGGACTGCACAAGTAGCATCGCGGCTAATTAATATCTCCGCTAGCCGCGAGATCCGGTGGGAATTGATGAATTCTCTCGGTGTTCCTCTTGTTGATTGTTTGTTCGTAATAATCTTATTCATTAATAATACATGAACTATATAATATCATATTACCTTTATTGCTAGCCACAGATTAGTCAGAAAATTGCCTGCCTGTTATAACATAACCAATAAATCATGTGTGAACATGCAAAGCTTAACATTATGACCAATTTATTAAATATTACAAGATTAATAACCAAATTCGTGTAATAACGGGTGTAACTAGCAGGTAACCGACAGAAATCCGACTCGGTCACTCGCGTTAAGAGGGGTGCATACAGATACAGTGCTAATACAGCCATTGCTGCACATACTAATACGTTGAAGGATAGGATTAGTAATCAGGAGCTGTTTCTAAATTAGATTAGTCAACTCCACCTTTTTCGGAAAAACCGCAGAAGTTACTCAACGAATGTGATTTGCTCGTCGACTCGACCTGTTCATGAAGTATCCAGAAAGACCTTTGTTTTAAATGTGATTGGATCTTCTTTCTACCAACACGTGAATGCTGTAAGCAGTTGGGAAGATATTTATTTCATAAGTATTAGTATCAGTAAACCTAAGCAATTTTACGATTTATGTTGCGGACACGTGCCAAGACCGGATATGTTATAGATGGTTTAATCTTTTTTATACATGAAAAATGATTAGTGACGTGATTCTGAATAATTCATTGCCACAATCTCGCGTATAATAACAAGCAAAGTTATTTCCATGATTTAATTTGCATCCAAATTATTATAGTTTTTAACAGCCTTAGTGCAATGCGGGCCTTGGAAATTTAATAGAGTTAAAGCTTGTAAATTTGTTTGATAATTTGCAGTAGGATTAATCGGGATAATAATTTAATAGCATATTTGGTTTTACATTATGTAGGACCCCTCAGATATGCATGTTCAACACTGCGCGCATACTATTACTATTGTTACAGATTACAATAAAGCCATCAAAGAGCAATGACATTTGAACCCTGCAAATTAATAAGAATCAGCTCGATCAATGTGTAGACAGATAGATATGTAGATATAAATAAAAGTATCACATGATAGTTTCCGCAAGATAGCTCACATCGAACAGATTAGATTATGCCGTCTACACTCAAGCGCTCATTATATATTATAAACGACCTACAGTACGTGATAATGTAAAGGAATCTTGGACACAACCTAATACAACGTTATAACAATCACATTATCATTATATGACTTGCGCTATAATGGTGTTATAGGCATGCACATTATAACGAGCTTCCACTGTATCGAAGGTATTGTGATCGTTTATACCAAGGAAAATTTTGTTACTCCATTATTGTTGCCTGCTGGGAAAGTTTTAGTATTACAAAGAGGTAACTATATTAATATTTGTTGGATTTGCGGTCAATCTTGTATTGTGTTTCTTTAAGGTTGAACTCTTCTGTATCGACTCATCAATCAACGACAACTCATTACCATAACAGGGTCACCTTTATTCAGACAGGGAAGTATCTGCATCCGACGATAATACTTGGACTAGTACAAATATGTCTCAGATCACAGACTGTAACACGAGTATAAGATCTGTCAATATGCGTTTTGTACACGTCTCATAAAATATCGAGACAATTTCTTTTATTTGTTTTACAATTGGACATAAAGAAATTAATAACCGCACAACGGCGTAAATTAAAATTTTATATAGTCTCCTATTGTTAAAAATATTCTTTAAAGAGGTTTGTTGGAAATAATCGCTGTGAATTTCCCATGATCCATTCCCAACAATGCCAAATCTTACATGGCAAAGGTGCCCGCCGATTCATGATAATAAGGCACAAAGGGATATAATTGCCCATCCATTGTCTGTACAAACGGCATGGGTGGAAACATGTGAAAATCTGGTCTTTGTATTGGTACTACGCCAGACATTGGTGGTGGTGGTGGTGGTGGAACTATGTCCTGCGTATTCTCGGAGATGCCTTCCTCTTCTTTCCCATCCATACTGCTCCTTCTCTCACTAAAGCTTCCTGGCGAAGTTACCGAAACGGGTGACAATCCACTATGATTAGGAGGAATAATTTGTACAGGTGGATAAAAAGTTGTCGGTGGTATGCTACCAGATCCTTGATTATATTGAGCAGTATTTGCGTAGATGTGAGAAACTGTTTGATTGTTTCCCAGGAAATTAGTATTCTTATGATGTCCAGCCGATCGCCGGCGAATTTCGTTATGTTGACGGTTAAGTTCGAACTGGAAGTTGCGATATTCTTGTGTGAGACGCCGCCGGACCTTTATCTGACGCTCCAAGTACTCCACGTTATTCTACATATAATAATAGCTCAATAGTTCACGCTCATAAGCAAAAGTAGATTTAAAAATACATAAATAGAAATATCTTACCTCTTGGACTATGGCTGCCTCGGCCGAAAGCGCTTCACTAAATCGAATGAAGGCATATGCGGGTTTGCCATAATCTCTACCACGATTGACCAAATGAATATCTTCGATTTTTCCATAAGGTTCAAATCTATCGTGCAATAATTCTTTTGTTATGAGATTCTCGTTTAGATTTCCGACGTATAGAGAGTGCGTGTCTTCTTCATTTGTTTCAAACGGAGGTTTATCAAGATTCTCAGCCCACTCAAGAAAATAAGTAGTGGTCTGACGAAGAGACTGTGATAAGAGAACACGAGTTAACGTAGGTTATGTTGCAAATATCGACAAATGCTCGGCAAAAACCCTTACGTTGAATGCGACAATTGCATCGTCTCTGTAACAGAACTTAACGAACCCACAGCCCTTGTTACGACCAGTATTGAAATTCTTCGGAATGCTGATCTCCTCGAGGGGACCAAATTGCTCAAGTATGCTTCTGATTTCTTCTTCAACGTGATCAGGGTTCAATTTAGCCACGAAGAGGGTTCTGTTCACCCGGGCCTTTTCTACTCTAATCTGTCGACCGTTAATCCATGAATTATGAGCTTCTTTCAACGCAACTTCTGCGTCGTTAATGTCCTATTTTTTTTTTCCACACAAATATATCAGTTGTGACCCTCGTCATTTCATAAAAATAAGGTGGTCTCCCATACCTCGAATTGAACGAATGCATAAGGACGGTCTGCCCAGTCTCTAAGAACTTTAACGTGAAGAACTCTGCCCCACTGCGTGAAATGTCTAGATACAGCCTGTTGAAGATGGTCTTCAGATTTTGTTGCATCCAAACTTTATAAAAAAGGATTAGTTCGGCGTTAACAAGCTTATCAAACGAAAATGTAACGACAACACGGGGTCGGTAAAAGATTTAATGAGTTTTTTATACACGTTATAATTGATTCATAATGTATACCTTGCAACAAACAGGCATCCTGCCGGCAGTCCTCGCTTTCCGGCCTGCGCACATCCAGGGAACATTTGTCGATCAGCGCATCCATCGTGGTTATCGAACATGCTCTGCGGTAATGCAAGTCCTTTAGCAATTTCGCATTCATTCGATTGGGTCGATTTCTCCAGGTAATGCTCCTCCGTTACAGTTACAGTTTCAGTTACAGTTTCAGTCGTTGCTATACTATCTTGAGATTTGAATGTTGAGGTATCCGAGATATCCATTATTTGGGTAGAAATTGAATCTTCTTTGCATTGGTAAACGTTGCTTTCTTCTGCATTTCTTGAACATGATTCAATTTCATCGACGCATGCATCTGTTGTTTCGCGGCTGATGTGAATATCATTGGTAATGTTTATCTATATAGAGCAAGAACGTATAGGGTGAAATTAGTGTATTCACAAGCAGTCATGATAACAAAAGTTCCGATTCATGGTATTAACATACCAACGGTATTAATGATACAAGAAAGATTGGTAGTTAATGCAGAGGAAGTTGAACTAGTTGAATTTGTTGATGTAATAATAATACTACTAACCGCTTCGTCAGTCGAGTCAATCGATTGGACTTTCGCGTTCTTTTCATAGGCGATATCGAATTTACCACATCTGGTAGTGTCGGTATGATTTGAGGAGGATTCTTGATTCTGTGTTACAATTGGTGCGTTGGTATGCATGTCGCTATTATTTCCAAATTCGCACATGTCATTTTGCACAGTGTTGGTGATGAGTGTATCGATTGCCTTTGTACAATCGGACACTGTTCTTGCGAGCGTCAAGAGTGTACGGGCTATGGAAGCAGGATCCGGTATTACCTCGAGAGTCATGAGTTCGTCTCTTGCCCTTCTTACTTGAGGACACGTCCTGCTAAGGTATTCTGTTTGGCTGCGTATTGATTTAAAGAGAGGTTTTATATAGTCGATCGCGTTCGAAAAATCAGCATCTATGTATTGTTCGTGGGTGACAGGCGTTGTACCAGTTTTGGTTTTAGGAGACAGCTCTGCATAGCCCAGTGAGGTTTGGGTCGTTAGGGACGATTCTGCACTGTTCTGTATGGGTTCGCTGCCCCTACTGTGTGTGACATTGTCATTTTCGTCTATGGGACTTGTAGTTTCTTGAAACTCTTGGGTTAGTTGTGCTATTATAGTATTTGTTGTTGTGGGCTTCTTTTTCTTTCTTTTGTTTCTTTTCGTGTTTGTAGATAGAACGTCGTCTATTCTTACGTCTTCCTCCTCGAAAAAAGTAGGACGTGTAATTTGGCTTTTACTTTCGGCCATAAATACCTCTTGGGCGTTGAAAGCTGTCCGAATAGTCTGTTTGTTAATCCATACAATTTGATAAGTGCTTTTTATGTAGGAGACAGCGGAGTGACGGTGGGTCTCACTATGCTCCAATGGCAGGTAGACATTGAGTATTTATTACATCAGCGGATATATAAGTACGACACTACTTTAATTCATTATTAGTATAATCAGGAAGAGTCGTATTGTCCTTCCGATATTGTCCTGAGACATTCCATAAAGTGCTACTTATTTCGGCTATAGTATATCTTACCACTGTTTTTATTGCACGCAGTATAATGTAATAAGCTCGATCGTCTATAAATTTACGAAATAATGATGTTATTCCTCATAACAAATATCGTGTCTAGTGTCATCGAATCTTCTCGATCCCATTGTGTTTACACATTACGTATTTACATCAACGTTAATTAATATATAAATACAGTAGCATTCATCATTGTATAAATGAAATGAAATATAATTTTATGATTTCTATAAAAATATCAGATTCGCCCGGAAGGATATCTAATCTACGTACTGTCTTATCTGTATATGCTTGATGCAAGAAACAAGAGCGGATATAACGCCACAGGAGGCAAATTGGTAGGCGCCATAAACAGCCCATTAATCTTTATTTATTTATTATTGCTCTCTCGAAAGTCAACAGTCACACAAAGTAGTTATGTTACACGGCCATATTATCATGTCAACAATAACAATAATGATAACATGTACTTAGCTCTTTTAAGTAACTGCTCGTTATAAAAGGCTATAATGGTTTAAATTAACATCGTCTCACTGTAGTAGACAATGCGATAACAATCAATTAAAGTTGTTCATGAATAGAACCGTTCAGAATGTAGTTTCTGCTTTGTAGGCTTCAAACGTATACACCAAATGTCTTGAGCCTTTATTATGCTATTACGTTACTGTTATTTATGCTGACTACTACACATATAGCATGATGGAAACCGGTAATGCCAAACTTACACTAATAAGAACATTGGCTAAAACTGCTATAAATAGGGAAACATATATACGGATTCTTAACATGAGAATAATGAGAAAGGCAAAGAAATCACAGCAATGTTCTTCGAACAAAGATCTTACACATGTCTGTGCGAAAGAAGTAAATTTTCTGTTGGCAGGAAGCAAAAAATTTAATCGTCTCTTTTTCAAATACCTACCAAGTTCTACATACTAATACGTGTGGTGTCATAACCTTATGAAAAGGTGTTTGACCTAAAGAGTCTATTGACTTCATTAGCCATCATATCCTCGCCATACGCTAACAGTGAAGAAGCGACTTGCTTAGCTCTCAATTATCGCCGAGATCTGAATAAATGTTGAGTCAACAACTTATACAATATGTCTCAGCAAGAAAATATTTAAGGTTTATAATTTATTCTTTATATTGTAGAGTAGTTGACTTTCTGCGTAGCAAGAGCCGAGTCTAAGGAATGCTTATACAATTATTACTCAACAGGGGATTGTACAGATCTTAACTACTTCGATCTTTATTGGCAGCAACGGAAATTCGCTATAGCTGCTTGATCTTAACTATTTCAGTAGTCAGCTTGATTAGACGTCCGCTTGTTAGCGTAACAATAGACAGTGCGGGTTGCGTCAAAATCTATTGTCGGAAACATTCGTTTAGACGAACACAAAATGAAATGGCAGCGAGAGAAATTCCTTTGTTATTTGCCAACGTCATCTTCACAGCTCAAATTTATTGTTGCAGCACAAAGTCTACCGTATTATAATTGCTCGTTGCGGAGTATGTAATCATCTTTTGTTGCTAATTAGCATTACGCAAATGTACCATCTAACAATACTTTGCGTTAATGACAGAACTTTTACAAAGTAACTTGCCCTATTTGGAATTTTTTATTACTCTAAAATTTAATAAAACGTTGTTTTCTTTCCAGTCTTAATTTAATCCTATTTTGAAAAGCTATTAATTGTGTACCTTGTGTGTTGCCACAAATAAATTGGTATTGTTTGTTTATATCTGTTTACAATTTAATTGGAGTTCGAACGCGAGCAAGTTGTTAAACAGGAGGTCATTGGTCGCACTTTAAAGATTCAAAAATCACTCAATTGCTCGCCATGGTAATTCAACAAATGTCAAAAGAACTGGAAGGCCACGAAGACGAATCAAAAGCTCAAGCAGGTTGAAAAACGAATAATTGGCTTACTGAGAATTAAAATTTGCAATCATTAATAAAGCATAATTTTACACTTGGCCAGATGATCTTTGGAGGATAGTGCATTAATAAAACGCAACTTTTATTGGTTGGACGGATACTTTTGTCTGGGTAGTGTAATATAATAACAATACTAAGGAAAAATATTGCTATTTTCTCTATTTCCACAATAAAACCCTTTTCGAAAAAATTGGTTGCATTTTTTTTATTAACAACTGCCCACGCATTTTATAGGATTACTATCAGGGCTATGAAGACTATTACTATGCCGACTCCCTTCAGGAATTTGTAAATTTTTTTGTTGTTCGTGGTTTTTAACGTTTGTACATATATACATTGCATTGATATGCACAACTTGCAAAACTATTAGATAATTTTTCAATGCAAAAGCCTTATTCAAATAAAGATAAAGCATCAGAATTTTTGATTGTGATCATGGGTGCAGTCAATTTTCTAATATAAACACGTGTTGTAACCCCCCCACAGCTGTCTACTTGTTTTATCAAAAACCAAATTATTATGCCAACTGCAATACTGGACTTTTGTGTAAGAAATACAAAAGTTGTTATAAAGAGTTTATTCCATAATTTTTACCATATACATAGGAAAATACACTAATTTCTGGCGTTGAATATTAGCTTATGCTCAGTTAACAGCATCTGGTATTAGTATTATTCTCATCTCATGTCCTAATACTATAATAATTCTGGTTAAATAAATTAGGCCTATGTTGAGCATCTCTTAATATCAAGCCTTCATATTACAATAAAAAGGTGTGTTATTTACTGCCTTCAAGCATTTGAAGAGAGTCAGCGCAATTACGTAAACACCCACGTTTTTTATAAAATTGACTGTTGATAAAAAGTCATTGATATCAATTTTATTAAAACTTATAACACTAATAAAATTAGCAAGAAAGTTAGTTAGTCAACGCAACGTTATTGTCTATTGACTAAATAATAAGTATACAACATTTACCACAGCTCAAATTTATCTAATTGGTTAAAGTTTACATTACAAACTACAGCCGACCCGTGTCAGTATTTTATTGCTAAACTCTGTCTATAGTCACGTGAATTATTTAATTTTGTAAAACGTGCATTTCTGAAGATTAAATACACATGAGAAAGAAATTTAATTGTTATTCCCACCAAAAGGCCAAAAACTTATACTTGTGATTATCCTGACTGCTCTGCCAAAGATTGATGGAACGTTTGACCTAGATGTCGACTGTGTATTAACTATCACCATAATAATAGCTAAATTGGAGCAGTAAAATGGATACTTTTGGTGATACTAACAAGTAAAGAAGAAAACATTTGTCAAAATTAATGATTTGAGTGATTAGGCAGTCGGACATGCTGCGTTAAAAGTAGCAAGTAAAAAATATATTATTTTGAAGTATCCACATTTACACTCCGTGGAAAAAAGTTTATGCGGGTGGTTTTTTTTTTTTTTGATTTTATTCCGAATTGTCATAAATAATTGATAACAATTTTAGTATCAATCAAAAGCTTTACTTTCTACGCGTCTTTTTAGTATCACTAGTTTTTTATTGATTTGTTATTGTGAAACAAGACAAAATAAAAACATTAGTTTTGATACCTTCTATTTTATTAACCATGGGGGCATGGATCGCTGAGAAAAATACCAGATTTGAATCCCTTCGAACATCCATGGGATGAACTTGACCTAAACGTCTTGAACGTCGATTTTTCTAAAAGAAGAATTCCAAAAGAGACGCATTTAAACTTAATTAATGGCATGCTTAGAAGAATAAAGACATGCATTGCTCACAATGGATGGCCAACTAGATATTAAAATTTTTATAAAAAATAAAGATAATTGCTTTTAAAAAAACCACATAAACTTTTTTCCAGGAAGTGCATGTAACGAAACGTATCAAGACTCTAGGCTTTTTCCAATCCAATTTGAATTTGCAATGTTCAGCTACCACAGCATTTACTCACCCGAAATAAGTAACGGACTCCCTTTTCTTTTAGTTTGTACAGTAGAATAAGCTACATAATAATTATTTAAACCTGCAAAGCAACTTTCCAGTAACTATTATAAATATAATTTTTCGCTTGGCCATTTAATTCTACTTGCCATGATTTTAACTAAATACGTATATGCAATTTTTTCATTCCTCCAGTATAAGTAAAGCAAAATTGTGTTCTTTTTTGTGGATTTCAAACGCTTTTGAAACCAAACTTATAACTATGAATGTTTTAAGTCAGGGCAATTTTGCAACAAATTTGATATGTATTTGTAGATTTGGTCAATCTTCAGTATTTATTTTGTAATGGCTGACAATTAACGGACATGATGCATACTTTACAACAGAAATCTAGGCCTGACATAAATTTTGGAAACATAAACAATTATTATGTAGACTATTATACAAAATGTAATTAATGGGGGCCGTTACTTATTTTGGGTAGTGTACTTCTATGCTTTATGTGTTAATATTAAATAAACAGCAAGCACATGCCTGATTTTCTTCGAAAAACACCCACGCATACCGCTGAGATTACCTGCTGTAAATAGCCGATTTTGCTATTTACTACGGAATTATTTAATTGGTCAAAAATTCACTCCCATGTATTTTAGAGTTGGTGAAACGCATGTATTCTGCGGCGCTTCTGTATAACTTAGATTTCGAACACCAACTTGATCACTTGATCGTAAATAGTGATAATTCGCGAGTAGATGTCTGGGAGGGAAATTGAGTACT